ATCGATTAAAAAATTAGTCGTTTGTTGCAGCCCTATTGTAGTTATCCCATGTATAAATAAAACGTGTTATTCAGCAACCCTTGCAATTTGGGAGTTTATTTTTGGTTGGTAGACCTCGGTGAGCTGGTCATTTCAAAAGTAGCTCACCGGCCAAAAAAGTGTGGGCACCCCTGATCTAGAGTATCACTGCTTGTCATCTTAAAAACGCACTGGACAGACAAACTAAAGTTATATTTATTTAAAGTTTTTTTCCATAAAACAATCCAGCAATCAAAATGAGTTTAACATTGAAACATTTCTTATAAAGAGTTTCAGTCTTGTAATCCACGGTGTGCAGAATGTTGCATGCATGTCTACACAGTGTGAGGATTAGAGTACTAGAGAGCTGCTAGCTTGTAAAGGTCAGGTTATTTAAAGCGGTACGTGTTGTGGGTTTCTGAGATTGTGCAGAAGTTGTCAGTTTGTGTGAGAATGAGATAGAATTGGAGGGGATGCAGAATCAGCTAAATCTGTTGAAGCAGTTCACACATTTCAACACATTTCCCTAATTCTCAAGGAAAGTACAGAAGAGAGGGCCGACCTCAGACTTCTGATTGATGTCGAGTGTTGGATTTTGCACTGAATCTCTCCATTAGACAGAATAAATCCTCTGAAGCGTCACCCTGTGTGTGTTTCCTAAACAACATCTCTCACGACTGATTCCCGTCTCCTTTAAAAACCTCCTGACAGCAGCGTAACAAAAGAACTGCCTCTCTTTTAACACGGAGAAGTTCAGAGCTTCAAACTTCACTTTCTCACGCCGCGAGGGTTTTGTAGCTCCCTGTTCTCGAGGCCACACGCCTGACAGGAGCTGACATGACAACACTTTAACTCCACCTCTCTGCCGCTTTCCTCTCAACCTCCAAACAGGAGATGACTGACAGAGCGAAAAATAAACCTGAAGGCAAAATGTGCAGATTGTAGTGTAATAAGAAAACCCAAAGTTTTAATGGTCTGATATGACAGGAAATAAATAAAGTAGAGATAGTGTCAAAGTGAAATTGGTTTTCTATAATTAAAACAAAGCCGGTGTGGTCCTTGAGAAACTGAATTAAACATACAGCGTAACTCCAGCAGCAGATCGACCAGATTACGACTCGTTTCTGGGGATTTGTGTGGCATGTCTGGAGATAAGTCTGATTTAAATAAGCAGGCAGTGTGAGTGTTTAACATGATGATAGGCCTAAGCATGGTGTGTGTGTCAGTAATGCACCCCAGGTCTGTGACTTCTCGAAAAGTGTCACCTGCACACAGACTTTGGTCACTACGAGTAAGAATTAGTGTTAGTTACGAGTTACACACAATAATTAATCAATAATTGACAAGTTACCAAACACAGGAATACAAATTGTACTCTTCAGAAACGTGCGACGCAAGACTTCAAATATTTTATTTTGCTTAAAGGTGATTCGAATCTTTCCCACACTTTCTTGGTATAGTATGCCTAAAATCGGCCTAGTTATCTAAACATACTATCTATAATAAATATAACTTTTCTTTCATTTTGCACAGTTGTGTTAAATAGTTTTATTACCAAGAATATTGATTCGTTATATAAGTAAATTTTCCCTG